CCACAAGAAGTAGTCTTCTTAAATTCATACAAAATCAACAACTTAATATACATCAGTATATGGTTTTCCCACATGTATATTCACAATATATTGGTTTGATTAACATAGAAAAAACCAATAATTTAGATCAGAAAGATGACTCGGTACTCCAAAATTTTAAATATGTAGGAATCAATGGATTTGAACAAAACTACATACTTATCATGTACATCCATATGACTTTTATATATTTCTCTCTCGCGCCGATCCTTAGTTACTCTCCTTTTATATTTCTGTATTTGCGTACTGTATTCTAATCTCCTCCTGCATATCTCGCAGGATTCCAGGTCCTTCTTCTGGTTCTGCACTCTGAGTAATAATTCTCATTATTGTTAGGTCATTAATTGTTCTAAGGATTCGATTGGTCTGTATAGCGATGATCAGTTCGTCTCCAGTTGCATTCTCCATTTAAATACATAAGATTTTGAGAAGAATTATTCATATTGCAATTTTAGCTAGTTATCTGTATCTCATCTACGGATATGGTACGATGCCACTCTGTTGCTGGTCCTGCTTACAGATATTCTACTCCTACCAATACACTCCTTCTTCTATGTAGTTTTGCTCTCTCCAAGCAATCCTGCGTAAACTGCTAGTTAACGCGCAGACTTCAATATAGTGAAATTCGTAGCGTTATGCGATATCATACTACTTAGAGATTATGGTTTCGGAACTCTTCCTCATATCTCCTATCACCTGGTCGCCATCATACTCGGAACTGTTTCTGTATCTATGATTTGTACTGCCGATATCCATCCAGAACTATCTCTTGTGTGTATACGGTGTTCACGTCTCAGATCTCTACCGGCATTGTGTGCTTATTACTATCATTTCTCAACCCTCTCACTTATTCTCGTACATTATGCTCTCGCTATAACTTGGAAATTATAATAGATTATACTAAGTTGTATTTTCGTCAATAGTTAAGTATTCGCTGCAAAAATCTACTGTTTCGTCGCGTTACGATAATTTGAACTCAATGGCATTTCATCTTTGCTCTTGCTGTCGAACAGCTCTCGAATTTCTTGTATGGTTGTCGCCACATCTAAGTCTGCTTTGTCTAAATGACACATCTATTAATTACCGATTTGTATATATAGTGTATGTGCTATATTGAATATTATGTATCTAATTATTATTGCTCGTGCCCGATCCATTTAGCCTAATCAAATATCTCCAGCTCATAATATAAGACTCTAAGTACACCATGGAATCTAATTCAACTAATAACTCTGAACACATGCTATGAATAGTATATCATGCACATGAGCAGATGTCTGATTAATAAGGCGAAAATAGAAAAACGATAAGCGACTTTACTAGACGTTATTAACATTTGATATACCCTGTTAAACAATTACTGAATATTATGATGCAAATAACAACAACAATTTTTAAAACTAGTGCAAAAGTTTCTGACTTTATAATTTGACGATGCAGTATGACAATTGTGAGTCCCTAATTTTCTGGTCGAAATCGTCATAGTCTATCTATTTCAAAGTGTTCCTTACTTCTTTATTCCCCTTTTGTCTCACATTGTTTGTTTTAACTGTCTGCTTAACGGTTCATCGATACTTGACAAACATAATACACATTGCTGGTGTCGTCATATTGAAAATACAGACAATCCTTTCTTACTTTTAAAGTACAGCTTCCTCTGCTTATTTGGATTGAACAATTGTAAGTTTTCTTGTCTTGATTAAGATGATCTCAATGCGGCCTATTGCTCGCTTCGGTGTGGCAATTTCTATTCTTTATGTTCCTTTTTCTTTTTATTTATTTTTTATTATATATGCTTATGGGCTGCATTAAGTTTATAAGTTTTTATTTAGATACTTGTAGCTACGATTTTTTTAGGTTTGGACTTGACATTCTCATTTCATAAGTAAATTTAAATATTCGTATTTAGTTTTACTTTTCTCTCCAGTGAGGAACTTCATTTAAAATCAAAAGTTTGTTCGACACGCGTCACTGTTCACTACTTGTAACTGATATCTTTGGCTAGGGATATTCGTAGTTTCTCCCTTTGTCTGCTCAAGGATATCAGTAATAATCACACGCACTGCACTTACGATCGATTATCATTTGGCTAAGATTCCTTTGTAGTTTTCTAACTTTTTCTTGCCAATTTACTGCTGCTTTTACACGATGCTCCTATCATTGGCGCGCACTCCCATATATCTCGTCAAAGGTATATTAAACAAATATATTTCTATCCGCGGACGCAGCGACAGGAATAAGCCCAACGAACAAGTGCTTATGTATCCTTAATATATAACCTTGATTGCCTCATAAGAGTGTCTCTTGTATTTCTACAATACATTATGCTATGTTGTGTACTATATTCGTGAAGATTCTAAGAAACTAGAGACAATAACTTTACCATTGTTCCTACCACTCATAGTGAGCGCATAGTGTCCAGCGCACAGCGTTAAGTATTTTCTATTTGTTTGTTCAACACTTCGATATTGTCCTAATATGCGCGTCTCTCGTGCGAGGTACCCTAGATAATATTTTGCTATGAATCGCGCGAAGTAATGTTATTACGTCATGATCCAACGCTAACGCATTCATACTCAAGTTTAAACAACAAAAACGTTAATAAAGATTTTACTTATTGCGACTGACATAATACAAAGTGGACTCTACGTCCAATGTTTATTTACAGGTCCGCCCTCGGGATGGGCGTGGGCTGTGTGAGGTATCAACACAAGCCTCCGCTGTGTGTGCCTGCTGTATACTTGCCGATACTTATAGATCGCCCAAAGCCATTATTATTTCATGTAGAACTTATACATTCGCTCGTGCTAGATTAGAGAAGACATCTATTATTCCAGACTTCGAGTCCTTATATACATCAAGCAGCAAATGATTATGCATTAATACGATCATCCAACATACAAATACAAAATATCGATACATCATTTCGTGAATCATGCCTAACGATATAAAATCAAACAATCTCCGCCTTGTCTCTCTGAACATCCCCTCGTATATGCCTAGTGATATTAGTCATAGTATTTTTCTTGTAGGTCTATTGAGTCTGATCAAAGAGACGTTATACCGGTGGTTGGTTGCTTAGTGAATTGCGTGTATATGTGAGTGATCTCGTAGCTCATTTCTGTCTTTGTCAGCCCGCAGTAAAAAATGAAAGTTTTCATACGATCATAACTCCACATTACTCCAAAAATTTTAAATTTCCCTCGCACCACTTTATTAACTCCCCTTTATTTCTATTTGTGTTTCAATTCCTCCATTGCCAATTTTTCTTTCATTTGTAATTCCATTATTTTTAATTTTTCTTGATTGTGCAGTTCATTCAGTTTCAGTTGCATTTCCATTTAAATAAAAAATTTAGAATTTTTAATGCGATTTACTAGTTTCTTTCCACACCAGTTTACGACTTGAACAATTTGCACAAATTTACAATCTCCTCAATACTTTTTATTTTCTTTACTTCTATACGCATGCAGAAACAATGAAATTCTAGTTTAAATGACAAATCATAATCTTAGATTTTATGGTTTCGGTTTCCATACTCCCTTCACCTGGTAAGCCATCCAACATTTCTGTATATGTTGTACGCATATACCGAAGCTTCGAGCGTGTCACCTTCCAGTCCACCATTTCTATTTAAGACGTTATCTTCTATAATTGAAATTATAATAGATTAATACTACTCTATTAATACAAAGAAAAACTTCTATTCTTCCGCGCAGTCCCAATAAAAATTATTTTAATACTCTGACGAAATATAAGTTGCGCCAAGTGGGACAGTGTAAAGTCAAAGCAGTATCCTGAAGACAAAGAAAAACACAAAGGATTAGCAATATAATCGATCGTTAATGCATGCGTTAAGGTACCTTGAACAAGGAGAAACACGAAATATCCTGCAAAAGATATCATTAAAAGTGTGAACAGTGACCGTGTGAACTTTGATTTTAAATAAGTGCTACTGAGAGAAAGTAAAACTAAACGAATATTAAAATTTACTTATAATGATAAGTCAAGTCAAACCTAAAAAAACGTAATTTGTTGCTTAATAAACTTATAAATTAATGTACCATACAATAATAAATAAAAATATAGAAAAAAGAAAAGGAACTAATAAGAATTGCACACTAGCGAAGCGTTGTCAAATAGGAAAGAAATACATTCAATAAAACAAGGCACGACACAAAGAACTTGTTTAAATAGACACGCATGATATTGGATATGTTCAGTATGATGAAAATTGAGACGTTAAACGAAAAAGTGAACAAAAAAGGGAATAAAAGAGAAGGACATTTGAAATAGATAGACTAGAATTTCGACAAAATTAGGGACCGCTAATGTCATACTGCATTCAAATTTATAAAGTCAGAAACTTTTGCACTAGTTTAAAAATGGTTGTTGTGATTTGCAGCAAAATAAATTTACGTAAATAAATCTGACTATTTTTATCGTATAATAATAGCGAATTGCTATTTACTTCAGTGTGTTTGTATTGTGGTTAGATTTGTGATGTCTATTTTCGACGGTTTTGCAAATGGAGCAGTTTAATATTATACATGTAAAATGCTAAAATATTTTATTAAAAATATTGTTTTTAGACAAAGCAAAGCAGTGGTCCAACCCAACAAGAAAATCGCTAGAAGAAGAATCATTGGTTGAATTCGTAACCAAAACGGATTTTGAGGTCTGTACTACTTATTAAAATAAAT